GATGTCGCTTCTGCTAAAAGTGTCCTTGCAGAGATGGCATTGGTAGGGCCGCTCGCCGGTGTCTGTGTAATGTTAGAAGCGGAGCGCGGTTATGTGGAGGCTAAACTTACGGCGCAACAGATGACGCTTGAGATGCTTCAGGTGCAGGTACGTCTTGTTGCAGTGAGGACACTCGTATTTGCCCTCGGCATTCTTGGTGGCAGTTGTGGGAGTCTTGCCTGCAGCGGGTGCGGGCCTACCGGGGTGCGTGGGCAAGACTCCGCGACGACCTTGCTGACCGACGACGTGAACGGGTTCGGGCTCCTGGTTGGGGAGTACGGGAGGGTGGGCGTACATGGACGTGTGTCCCAGTCCCATGCCAGGAGGGCCGCCGAGCTGGTGGCCGTTGGTATGCGCAGATGCTGTGGACAGCATAGGCGCCTGCGAATAAGCCGACGACATGGGCATGTACGAACTCGGCGTGGGCTGGAGGGGTCGCAGCGGCGGGTGCTGCAGCGGAGGCATGGTAGAACTGCCATTGGCGGCCGAGGTCACAGGCGTGTGCGGCGGCTGGGGCGTGTGAGGGTTGCTATTGTGGCTGTACATGGGCGCGTACTGGCTGGCGCTCTGTAGAGGCGGCAGGGTGGGCAGCTGGTTGTTGTTGCCATTGTACTGCTGCTGGCCTATTGATGGGTAGCTATTGAGGCCAGGCTGACGGAAGCGGTCTGTGGAATCCATAGTGAAGTTATTGGTGGGTCGAGGGTGAGTGAAGTGATGGGAAAGGCGCGACCAATTGTTAGTCGTGAAGGGACCATTCGACGGAGCTTAGGGCGGAGTAACGTGTGCAAGGCTGGCTAAGCACACCACGAGGGCCGTTAGACGGACGTCGGGATGGAGGAACGATGGGCCACGAAGAAGCTTTACAGGTGGAGCCGTGTGGGGGACTGAGATGGCCAGTCGATACGCGTCGGCGGGTACTCCACGGGTGAGGTGGAATTGGGGAGCCCGCAGTGGGTGAGACGACGAGGTGATGGGTAAGAGGGGCGGCGATGTGGAATGGAAGAGTTTACCGGCGACGATGGGTTTCTCGTAGCTGGACTAGCAAGAAAGTTGCGTCGGTGGTTTGCCTGGCTCGCGCGGCAATTCACGCGAAGGGACAAGGGACCTGCTGCAGATCGGCGGCCCACACACCCTTCAGCCTCAGCCGATTGATTGCGGATAGACCAAGTGGAGAGCTGTAAGCACGAGACAGGTACGGTAGACCCACGACAGGAGTGAGGGCTGTTGGGGAGCTTTGGGGGAGGGGAGAAGGTGGCTCGGGGTAGAGATAGCGGTCGGCGAAAAAAATATGCGAGTTCTGCTGCGAGAAGTGCCCGTCTTCCGCACCGCGTAATTCCTGTTTCCGCGCTGCTGAATGCCGGAGCTTGCCGGACGTTGATAGCGAGCAGATATGGCTTGTCAAGAATAATGTGGGTGGCAGATACTGTGAGGAGGCAGGGGAGGCGTCGGACGCGCAAGAGATTTCTGAACAAGGTCTGTCGCGGCAAGCGCGTCGGGGTGCCTGTGCAGCGACGTTACAGACTTAGGGCGGGAATAGTAGGTGAGGACAGTGGGAGAGATGCAGGACCATCTCGAGACCCCGACTACGCCTAGGGACTAGGGACTCGGACGCGGCACGTGATGACCGAGACTGATGACTTTTCGCATACGTGAGATGTTCGTATTGTGTGCACTGCATTGGAGCGCGTATGCGCCGCCCGTTGGAAAAAACTATTACCAATGACGACAGCCGTTCGTGGGCTAACGGGCCAGGACCCAATTGCATGCACATGCACAGATGCCTTAGATTCCTAGTCTACGCGCTGGCCGGGGCCCTTGAGTCGTGCCCACCTCCGAAGCTGGGTGCGTGTATCGATGCGTATCATAGCCCTCCCGTATGTCCCCCGACCTCGTCCATTACCATGGCCCAGGAGTTTCAACCACGCCACGGCGCGGCAATCGATAAGGGCAAGAGCCTCATTCCACCATCGCCCGCACCGTCTTGGGCGGTTTCACTTTCCAGAACCCCCATTCCCATGGTACCTCCCAGTTGCTCGTACGTACTGTCGGCGCGCCTTAGTCTGCGTGACTTGTCAGAGCCACCGGATCGGTAAGGCCAGCGAGCGCGAGCAAGCAACTCATCCGAGCATCGACCCGACAAAGGCCGAGCTTCACGTCGCGTTGGCGGCTGTGGCTTGCTGGGGTGTTATATCCGTCCATGAAACCAAGCGCACCCGACGAGCTCCAAGCCCCAGAAATGTTTCCGCGCAGCTCTGCCAGCGCGTCCCGTGGTCGCAACCCTCTGCTCCATGTCTCTCAGCTCTCTCCGAGCCGTCGCTGGCGGGAGCGCTGGGCCAGTGGCCGTTGGCAGGCGCCGAGCGTGAGGTGAAAAGTTTCGTGAGCGTGACGTATGGCTACCCGCAAGCAGCTAGCGCGCAGCTGGGATCCCTTGACGGCAGATTGCAACGGCGTCCGCCAAATCTTCGGCTCGCCAGATCCTTCGGCTGTGCGACCCTCGAATGAAACCTCACGTCTTGAAACAGCTCTGCGGAATGGATGCGCTGGAAGGTCGAGGCGCCGGGCATTCAAATCGAAACAACACACGCTGCAGCTCCAGAGACGACAGCAATGCGCGACGTCTTGTTGGCCGCGATCGCCCAAGGCGAATATTGTTGAATGCCTCTCGTCCACTCAGCTTACGTATCGCGACTTGGAACGCCGCTAGCGTCTTCTATCACGATGCCGCTCGGCCTCGAAGCTGACGGTGAAGGACGCTCAATGCGGCATACCGCGTGCTGCTGCTGACTCGATTACAGCACCAAAAGTGACACGCATCCAATGCCTGCCAGCTCAACTCCTTCATAACTGCGCACCCTCTGCCCTAGTCCGCTCTTGTGCTGCCGTGCATATCCTGCATCTATCTGCCTCTTTTCGAACGCGCAATATGTTGTCAAGAGATTGTGTGCACAAAGTCTTGCCGTGACCGTCGCTTGAGAGCATCCGATCTTGACGTTGCATGCTTGGCAAAGTACAACGCAACCTTTTGCGGAAGAATTTGCCGAGGCTTTAGAGTGCAAGGTGATGGAAGAGAAATTTTCCTCGGCAAGCGGCATGCTGTCACAGAGACCGATGGCGCGATGCTTTGTAGTTGAGCTTAGACGGGCGTCGTGGCTTGCCAGAGTGCCGTTAGATGCAGATGAGCCAACCCCCCCACGTGTTGTGCGCTATCCCACATCGCTCTTGTGTATCAAACTCCCGGCATGCCAGCAATTCTTGCAGCTTGCGCCATGCCATCCGATGCGACACCGTGCGCTCAATCGCTCTCAGGGTTTCGACGGCACCCCTAGGCGTGCTAGGTGGCCGCATCTGCGCTCCCTGAACGCGCAATGCTCCTGGAATGCGCACACTGCCCACACGCTCTGCATCGTGGAAGTTGGAATAAGCTCCAGTCCCACTTGCGGTTGCGCTCCCGAATCTGGGTGTGGATGATACCCGAAGGTGGGCATCAAAGTGGGCTGTCCGCTTGACGCGCTGCAGTGATTCCCAAGACGGCAAGACCAGCGACATACAGGCGGGATGTCTATGTCGTGCAGCAGGCTCTGACCCGCCGTGGCTTGACCGTCATGCACTCGATGAGTTTCAACCTCCTGTCTTGTGAGGTCACGCCGCCGAGAGAAAGACCGGTGAGGCGCTGGGACAGGCTTCCGACGTCAAGATAGCGTATCATACAAGTCATGGAACCAGGGTCCTTGACCGGATGAACTTGGGACTGTCCGCCGACTTTGCGTAGGCGGAAGTGCAGTTCCGAAGCGTAGCTGCGCTTGGCTTCGACGCGCATATGACTCGATGCGAAGCCAGGAGCAAGGCGCAGGCTGGTTCGCAACAAGGCGAGGATGCCCACTGAAACACAGCGTTGTAATCATCGTGGTATGTCTGCTGGCGCTACGGCAATGCTGTAATTGCAGACATTGTGAGTTTGGTAGGCGCGACTCCAGTGGCGGTATCTAGGTACTGATCCCATCTCTTTCTCTCATCATTACCGTGCATGAGCGATTTGAGAAACATGGCTCTCAGAGCCATAATTTGATGTGCTTCGGAGTTTGGGCGTGGTAGGAGAAATTCCTGAATCCTGATGGTCACGTTGCAGGCCCTTGTGTACCAGAGGCATTGCCTGCCTTGCTGTGGAGCGCCACGGTACCCAGGTACCACCTTTGGTGCACTCGATGCTCAACATTTCATCGAACAAAAGAATGTAAGGTTGGGATATAGGGATACATATGTATTTAGGTACAGCTGATATCGAAAAAACTGGATCGATTGCGGAGACGTACATGCTTGGTGGCGCTTGCTCTAGTAGGCAGGCATGGTAGGATGCGACAACCTAGGTAGGCTTGAGCATACATATACGCAGTGGTGGCCTGCATCTTGCTCGTTTGTATCGCTCGAAAATTCTGGACAATGTGTGCCATCGATCCGATTGTGTCCAATCTAATGTCACAGGTTTTGTGCGCCTTGATGAAGTTGGCCGGCTGGCTCACCTTGTGTAGCCGTCTGTAGCAAGATGCCGACAATTGTCTTTGCTGCAGTGTGCGACTTGAAGTTCGTCGCATTGCTTCCTGTAGCTGTAGTAGTGAGCCGGCTACTACGAGCCATAAATGTTGTGGTGAGCCGCACCGCAAAAGTGCGTTGCAGAGGTCTTCCTGCCCGGGCATGCGAAATACGTGAAAATCCAGACAACGGGAAACTGGCACTTCGGAGGTTGCGATCATGTTTGTATGGGTGTGTTATGATACTCGATAACTTACACTATATTCTCATGGTGTTTTCATGTGATTTCCAGTGATGTGTGCAATACGTGATTATTTTTCAATGTTTAGAGGTTTCTAGAATTGACGAATGTAGCTTCTCCAATCATCGCAACACCCAACGGCTGTACTAATAAACGCACTCTCGACTTTGTCTCCCGAAGATCAAAACACTCCATGAGAACAACAAGAGCTCTAGCACAAGCTTTACGTGCCCACACAACTGCGTTCCGCCGTCCACAAAACTACTGCATCCACGTTCCCCACCTACAAGTACGCGCGATGTCAGACTCCACCAACTCAGCAAATCCCCCTACTCCACAGGATCCTCAGGATCAGACGTCGCAAGAATCCAACAAAACCCCACTACCTCTTCCGGCACCTACGGCTGACGAGGGTACCACGCAGATCAACGTCGGTGGGCAAGCGGTCAAGCTGGATCATCTGGGCCCTCTGGTAGTGAACAAGGATGGCACATTGTCGCGCATCGCAAATTGGGAGCAGATGGCGGACATTGAAAAGCAGAACACTTTGAGGATTTTGGTGAAACGAAACCAATTGAGGACAGAGGCTTTGAAGGAGAAAGCGGATGGAGAGGGAGACGGGGCTTGATTGAAAGCATGGGTCACGGGCGGAAACACATGTACATGTCTCGTGTAGAAGGTGGTTGTAACTTCATCTACAAAATGTGATGTTTCTTCTTCTACTATCTATGTCCTTGGTCGAAACACGCGGCTCTATGGCTTCTGGGTCTTTGTGTGTGTCATACGCTCGAAGTAAGACCATTGGCCTTCTGGCGCCGGCTCCTCGAGTGGCTCCCAACTGTGGCGGGTTAGCTGTGATATGAGCAGCCAGGAAGTAGTCTACTTACACCTTGGCCTCGACCATGACGTCTACAAGCTTATGTTCGCCCTCAGCAACCTGGATGACTTCTTCAATCAATCCTGCGCCAATTCTGCTCTCAAGTTCCGAGATGCTGTACATGTTAGCCACGGATACATTATTGACTACGGCTCATGTATGACATACGCTTCGGCAGTGTATTGCGGCTCAGGGTCGAACTTGACATCGGCGACTGCCCGCTCGGGCGTGTAGTTGACATCGCCCTTCATCTTCTTGGCATGGGGCAAGCGCTCTTTCGAGGACCGAATGCCCTCGGGGAAGGTCTCGACGGCCTCACCGTCCCACTCAGCAGCCTTTGACCGCTCATCGACCTCGTGCTGGGTTGGGAGTATAATGGTCTGTCCGCCTGTTGTGTCGATGGCCTGATATCTTGTCGGGTCCTGGCTGACTTGCTGCGCGACCTTTTGCTGCCACTCATCCCATCCTGCTGGCGTAGCTTGCTCGATGACGGCTAGGCGGTGCTTGGTGAGAGCCTCGGTCGATTGGCGGTACACGGAGGATTCGGGAATCTTCTTGAGCTTGTCGAGGGTGGAGTGGTAGTGGTAGAGGAGGGTGGAGCGCGGCGACGGGTGGGTGAGCAGGCCTGTGAGACCCGTGGGTGTGCCGGCCTCGAGGAACTGGCCGGGCTTGACGCTGGCGAGGAGACGTGCAGCTGCCCTCATGTTGGCGGGAGTGTGCGAGGTGGGGCGGGGGCGCAATTGGTGCTTCGCAGTGGTGATGCCGTCAGGACGAAGATGCGCCCGCCAAGCGATATGCAGCCGGAGCGGCGGGCCCTGGCTAGTAAGCGTCCCATGGCTCAGGGACAATGCGCCCTGGAGACACGATTACCCTCATTCACGCGCGACGTCCCCTCCGCCACGCCTGCGTGATACACAGGCTCGCTGTAATTCCTACAATCTCTACCAATCGCGCCCCCGATACGCAACAACTTCCTTGTCCCCTCGCGTGCGGACCGCTGCCTCACACGAGCAGCCCGCCCCTCAGCCATCGCCGCGATGCGCTCTATATTATATTCCCTCCTGTCGCTGGCGACGTTTGCTTCCACACTTGCGGCCGACACGTCGAGTGCCCAGGCGACCGCCAAGAAGGATGACTGGGACGACAAGACGCCAGACACAATATTCAACGGCGAGACGGTGCCGCCCATGATAGAACTTGGGCCTGCCACCATAGACACCGAGATCAGCAAAGGCAACTGGTATGGAGACAGCTGTAGATCAATCACGGTATACTGACATTCCGCAGGATAGTAGAGTTCTTCTCGCCCTACTGCAGCCATTGCATGCACTTCAAGCCCACCTACCAGACCATCTACGAATTCTACTACACCTCGAAACCCTTTCTCTCAAAAGACGAGCCCGAAGGCGATTCCCTGAATTCCTTCACCCGATACTATGACTTCAAGTTTGCCAAGGTCGACTGCGTCGCATACGCCGATATCTGCAAGAAGCACAACATCCAGAGCTATCCGTCCATGATCTACTTTCAGGACGGCAAAGAGATGGAAAGAGAGACAGGCTCCAAGGACATGAAGGGCATGAGTTCCTGGGTAGAGCGACTTCTGGAGACTCTCCGACCGGGTACACGCAAGGAGGGAGGTCCCAAGCTCCCCAAAGTTGGCGCAACATCTGTAGAAACTGGCCCGGAAACGGAGGAGGCTGTCAAGGAAGAGAAGAAGTCGGAAGCCCAAGACAAGAAGGCAGCGAGCCCAGCCACCAACCTAGCCGCCGGCGCCACACCTTCAGCTTCGCAAACGACCAAGGCTGCGCCTGCAAAGATTGAGCCCACCTCGAATGCGAACCCGTCCGGCATCGTCGAGCACCTTACCGCCGAGACGTTCGAGAAGCTCGTTACAAATACACGCGATCCCTGGTTTGTCAAGTTCTACGCGCCATGGTGCCACCACTGCCAGGCTCTTGCGCCGACATGGGCGAACCTTGCGCGACAGATGAAGGGCAAGCTCAACATTGGTGAGGTTGACTGCGATGTGGAGAGGAAGTTGTGCAAGGAGGCCCGTGTTCGAGGCTACCCGACTATGCTCTTCTTTCAAGGTGGCGAGCGCATTGAGTATGGAGGTCTCCGTGGACTTGGTGATCTGCTTGACTACGCGGAGAAGGCCTCGGCGATCGGTTCTGGCGTGCCTGATGTGAACGCTGAAGAGTTCAAGAAGATGGAGGAGACGGAAGAAGTCATCTTCACCTATTTCTACGACCACGCAACCACCTCGGAAGATTTTCAGGCACTCGAGCGGCTTCCTCTCAGCCTTGTAGGCCGCGCAAAGTTGGTCAAGACAAATGACAAGGAGCTCTTTGACCGCTTCAAGATTTCCACTTGGCCAAGATTAATGGTCTCAAGAGACGGAAAGCCTACGTACTACCCACCCAGGACACCATTCGAAATGCGCGACGTCAAGAAGGTCCTCACCTGGATGAAATCTGTTTGGTTGCCCATCGTCCCAGAGATGACATCTACCAATGCCCGCGAGATCATGGATGGCAAGTTTGTTGTTCTTGGTATACTGAACCGCGACCGTTCCGACGAGTTCATCCTCTCTAAGCGTGAGTTGAAGAGCGCGGCTCTTGAGTGGATTGACAAGCAGGACACTGCCTACCAGCTTGAGCGACAGGAGCTTCGCGACGCGAAGCAACTGCGCATTGAAGAAGCCGAGGACAAGGATAACCAGCGAGCACTCAGAGATGCGAAATCCATCCGAATCAACATGGATGATATCCAGCGCACTCAAGTCGCATTCGCATGGGTTGACGGTATCTTCTGGGAACGCTGGATCCGGACCACATACGGTGTCGATGTCAAGGACGGCGAGAGCGTCATCATCAATGATGAAGATGTAAGTCACTCGGGTTCGCTCACACGTATCTTGCTAACACGTATAGAACCGTCGCTACTGGGATAACACCGTATCCGGCGAACCTATCCGCCTCTCTCGCGCCGCAATCCTGGAAACTATCAAGATGGTTACCTCGAACCCGCCCAAGATTGCCGCCAAATCTACCACTGGTCGCATTACTGGCATGTACCTCTCCACTCGTCACTTTATCAACAACCATCCCTTCATCTCGCTCGGCATGTTCGTCGGTTTCTTCACTGCCGCGACACTATTCGGCAACAGCAGGCGGAAGAGAAGGTTTGGAAATACCGGCGCGTACTTCCAGCTGGGAGAGAAAGATGGCTTACTGGGCGGCATGGGTAACGGCAACTTTGGAGGCGCGAAGCACGATTAAGCTCTGAGATAAGACCACAGGATGACTGTTGGGTGGTTCGGCGTTTTCTTTGGCATGTAGCATAGTCACGATTGGTTCTGATAGCGATAGCGGTTATTCATCTCGCGTCTTGTATTAATACAAACTGTTGTTATCTGCACTGCAATGGTCAAAGTGTGCGCCTGTACATGCCCGGACGATATCACGACATTTCCAAGCTTTTGACGTGCTACGGCAAAACCACATGGAGGTCTAGAGCGTATGCCATCATAACCAAGCATGTCACTTGCAGCTGGCCATTGGGTGGAGCACACACGTGTCTACGCGACGTAGCTCCCCACGCGTACCCCACCACCCCTCCAACTCACTTTCACGCATTCTACGCTCTGCAACTCGGGTACACGTCCCGCCCTTGACAATCGTCCGCTCCTTTACAACTTCCACGCTGCATTCTCTCAAGTTTCTCCGCGCAGCGAGATCGTGCCATCAGCATCCTGCTGCGATCCAAGCACGAGCATTTCTCCTCCGCCGATTACCTCACACATCCGCCCGCACAATGTCGACGATATCCCTTTCGGATCTCGAATTCGTGACTCGCGAGTCTCTCGCCAGCGACTTCAAATCCTCCGGCAAATCGCTGCCTGAAAACACTGCAGTCATCGACGTGAGAAAACACTCCTACACGAACCTTTCCCTGATATATACAAGACTGACCATGCGCCCTCGATCTAGGTACGAGACAGCGATCACGTCGGCGGTCACATCAAAGGCTCAACCTGGGTCCCTTCGTCGCATTTCGATTACAAAACTCCCGAGCTGATCCGCACACTACAAGACAAGGAAGTCGTCATCTTCCACTGCGCGTTATCGCAGCAACGGGGTCCCAGTGCGGCATTGAGATATCTGAGAGAGAAGGAAAGATTGGACCCGGCCTCGAAGGTGGAATCGAAGGGCGAGGTTGAGGAGCAGAGTGAAGCCGTGGATAAGAAGGAAGGAGAGAAAGGACCTAGCGGGACACAGGTCAAGAAGCAAAAGGTCTATGTGCTTCAGGGAGGGTTTACGATGTGGCAGGAGAAGTATGGACAGGACAAGGATTTGACAGAGGGGTATGAGAAGGATATTTGGGAGTTTGGTACGCCGGATCATTAGACGGTGGATGGACGCTGTTGCCGGAGAGGACTCGCCATACATCAGAAGATTATGACATCGAGCGTGACATCAACAATGATATTCTACAACAAACAATGAACTATTCATCGATACCCTAACAGCCCTTCGCATCAGCTTGGTCCTTGACCAACCCCGCGTAGTTCTGCTTCTCATAATCCATGATAGCCTGGACCTTCTTCGCACTCGCACTGCCCTTGTCAAACCGGTACCCCACCCACTCCTTCACTAACCGCCTGGCGAGTTCAATGCCAATAACTCGCTCGCCCATACACAGCACCTGTGCGTCATTCGACAGAATGGCGCGCTCCACCGAGAAAG